AAGCTGCTGATGCCCGAGATGATCGTCTTGAAGATGCTTTTGAGCGCTTGCTGCTTGATACTTTCGAAATGCAATCGAATGGCTGTGGTATCAGATTCATCACAATAACCTCTGATGTACGCAAATCAGTCTCTTTAATCCAAGCCTGGGCTGTTTCTGCAAAAGTCTTAAAAGAGTCTGCTTTAGGTTCGAACCAGCACTTTGTTTGCATCCTCCTCAGATAGTTCCAGAAATAGCTCTTTAACATTAGTGTTTAACTCACAAAAAACATTGTAAAGCCTCTGAAAATCCTCCATTAGCTGTTTAACTTGTTCCAAACATGAATCATCACCATTTTCCATCAATAGCCGCACTTGGTTCACTGTGCTTGTAAGTTTAGAAAGCGACAGTAGCTCAGTTGGTAGAGCATGGTTGGTAGAAGGTCGTGGGTTCAAGCCCACCATAAGACCTACTTCACGGCTCCCACTGATGACTGCTGTCGTTGTGTCCTTGGGCAAGACACTTAACCCCACTTTGCCTGAAGCTCCCACTGAAAGATCTCAGCTCCTGTGGACTCACCACCTGCAGGAGGATCAGTGAGGGGCTGGTGCTCTGTGTACTGGGTGCAGCTCTGACTGCCACCCCCCCGACCCAGAAATGGATTAAGGGGAAGAAAATGGATGGCTGCTTCTCTCAGATTTATAGCTCTGTGTAACTTTTCTCCTTGTGCCTTGGGAGTTACTTTCACAACCCTGGGTTCAACTACAACGCTCATGTCTTCTTCTCCGTTTGGGTTCATGTTAATAATGCAGTAATAGCGATGGCGCTGCACCCGATAGAACAAAGGACCACGCTGCTACACGATGACTCAGCAGAGTTTGAGTTGTAGAAGTGTCACTTTACTCACGTTCATTACTGTTGCAGGTGCTTGAATTCGTGTCTTTGTTGCTCGAAATCCTTCCACATATATCCACACACGTCCATTAATCCACTGATGAGCTCGGTTTTCTTACTAATGTACTCTGCAGGTTCCACTTGTTGCCGGTGGCTTACTCGCGTTACTTTAAAAAAAGAGAAAAACTCCCACGGGACTCCATGTAAAAATTAACAAACGTTTATTCCACACTCTTGTACACGAAATTACTTTGCTGAGTTGTCTCTTAATAAAATAAATGCGGTAAGAAAACCGTTTGGCTCCTTATCTCCTGAGCTGCCAAAGTTACGTGCCGCTCTCTTCTCGCTCGCTCCTCTGTAAACAAACCAAAACCTATCTCTCTTAAAGCGACGCTTACGTAAATGTAAAATGTAAAACAAAAATAACCTAGTTCAACAAGGGTATTTACAAACATGAAATGTAGTTCCTAAATTAACATAAAATACTAATTAAGCAAATAAATACGTTATTACTAATTTATAACAAAATAAACAATCAAATTAGTAACACTCTAATATACACTATGCAACATGCAAATATCTAACTAACAAAGCTTAACTTGGCTCCCACACAGACCTTAGCTGCATAAATCTGAAAAGCAGCCTCCCCATGTCTAGTCCTGACTCTGGGCACTAACAGGAGTCCCGTCCCTGCGCTCCTCAGAGTCTGGGCCAGTTCATATGGCACAAACATATCATGGCAGTACTTTGGTGCGAGGCCATGGAGAGACTTGTACACAAGCAGAGCTGTTTTAAAGTCTATTCTCTGAGCCACAGGAAGCCAGTGCAGAGACCTGAGGACCGGACTAATATGGTCGTACTTCCTGGTTCTAGTCAGGACTCGAGCTGCTGCATTTTGAATGTACTGCAGCTGTTTTACAGCCTGTTTGGACGGGGTCGGCCCGATGTTCCCCGGGCCCGATGTTCCAAACGCCGGAGGGCCCGGTGTTCCCCGACTGCGGGCCTCGCTCATACACATGTTATTGCTGCGCGCGGATAATGGAGCAACAAGCGGCTTTCGCTCATAACTAGTCTATTTTGGGTAGGCCTGCAGATTAGTAAGTAGGCCAAATTCGCTTGCAAACTACAAGGGCTAACTGGAATTGGGGTTTCAAAGAATATGGTTCAAACGCACACACGCACGCACACGCACTCACGCGCGCACATACACACAAGCTCATTTATGAAACTTGCGTTGAAAAAGATGTACATTTTGGGTGTATATTCCATTTACGCAATTTGCCAAAATGTTTTGATACATTAGAAAAATCCTTCTTGAATTGTAGAAGTGAATAAATATAGATTGATTGAATTAATTAATTAATTAATATATATTATGCAGCGGTGGCTCTGAATGAAGCGTCTGCAGCGTCTTGGATGCAGCCTGGCTCGGGGTAGAAGTGCGCATTGAGGCGCTGTACACTTCATAGAGAGCGTTTGCGGTCCAGATTTCACAAAGAAACTCTGGAGCCAAAACTTCTGCACATGTGGCGCGACTCTGGACAGGGCAGTGAGACGTTTGAGTGAGCAATACCATCGATGCGTTATTGGGGTGTGTGTCTGTGTGAGGCTTACACAAATCTAATGAAAAGCAATGTGTTAACATTGCTTTACCAGATGTGAATGAGGAATACAAATAGCCGTGCGTAATTACGCAGCGCAGAGCCTGCCACAGCAATAGATGGGTCACACATCCCTGTTGCGTATGTAGTAAGTAAGTAAGTAAGTAAGCTTTATTTATATACCGCCTTTCACAGACCAGAGTCACAAAGCGGTTTACAATTGTTATTTTTTGGGCACTTGTCTCTCACTCCACACAGAGATGGGAGCGGGGTCGCCGAACAGAAGGCGCATGCCAGACCTATTGTACATATTTTTAGTGGTAGGGGAAACCGGAGTACCCGGAGGAAACCTACGCAGACACGGGGAGAACATGCAAACTCCACTCAGAAAGGCCCTGGTCCGGCCGGGATTCGAACCCAGGACCTTCTTGCTGAGAGGCGAGAGTGCTATCCACTCAGCCACCGTGCCGCCCATGTGTATTTATATAGAGCCTTTGACTGTCCAGGATCACAAAGCGCTTCACATTTTAAAAACATACAGATCAAAATAATACACCCACAAGTCAGATTTAATAGAGGGTCCTCATCATGAGCTGTGATTTATTCGAAGTTTGCGTGTTTCCATTAGACTTTTTCTGATGCGCAAATTCAAATTTTGAAACATGATCCTCAATGAAAACACAGCATATAATTTTGCCAGAGGGAATATGTTTATTGTTGTACATATCTTGAATTTCATGCGTGTTTTGGCGTGTTGTGCCGAAGGTTGAGTTCAGCGTATATATTTACACCACCTCCAGACCTGGCGTTTATTTTTTGCGTATTGTACGCTCACGTCCAGATTGATAAATGCGGAAAAGTGTAATATTTTGCGTACGCCTCATTTACCCTGATTTGGCCGTACGCAGGTTTCATACATGAGGCCCACAGTGAGGCCCACAGTGAGGCCTACAGTGAGGCCCACAGTGTGTCTCACACAGGCCTGGGGTTTACCTCATCAGTGCAAGGCGAGCCTGGCCTGACCGCGCTCTCCTCCTCTGGGACCTATGGGCCCGGGCCTCTGGCTCCTCTACCTCACAAAGTTCACGCTGAACTTTCTTAAAATTAAAATGAAAAAGGCTGCTCTGTTGTGAATGCTTTGAGAGCGTTGTCAATCTTTAAGACGAGGAATAGCTGGTTGTTCTCGCTTCACGCTGTGTAATATGATATTGGACAAAATTGTTCAGCCAATAAACAGGACTTGAAGCAACGTAGGAACGTGATGACGCTCAGGGGGTTATATTATTATTATTATTCCCCCCACTGTAGGAGCCAATACACTTTTAATATTTTTGAATTCTGAGCGTTTCCAATTGTATTTAAAAATGGGAAACCTAATTAAACAATCATGAATTGAGCTTTTCCGATCTTATTTTACACTGATTCCTTTGATCATTTTTTTCTTAAAGCTCAAGTTGTAAAAATGCTATGTTTGAATTGGTTATTTACATTTTAACTGTGAGTGACACGTAAGGCGGGACAACAATGCACAATGACGCACGCATTCTGAATAGAATAATATGTATTAATATCTCTAAAACTAAAAGAGCATATTCAAGTTTTACAACAAAAACGACGTCATATGCGTGTCCATTATGCGTAAAAGCACAGTGCCCTCAGCAAAACCACGTATTTGGAAAAACTATAGGCTAACAGATGTAGTAGCTCTAGTTTCAATCGTCCTCATTTTATTCAGTCAGACTTGTCAAATATAGATGCCCATGGGAGAGTGAGCAAGGGGAGATAACATGCCCATAACATGCCCAAAAATATCCTGCATAGACTCAAACTGCGATCAGCTGAAATATGAGCACACAAAGAGCGAGAGGGAAAAAGAAAAGTAAATAGGCTTAGGCTAGTTAGTATTTTTTCTCTCACAAAAGTTGGCACGGATCATATGCCATCTTTCGTGGAGGAGGAAACATCAAACATCAAAGCGCGCACGCGGGGAACAGCGGCACTAGTCTCGTTGTTGAAGTCCCGATGTTCCCCCACTTCTATAGGCGGGGGAACATCGGACCCGGGGAACATCGGGACTTTTTAATACGCGAAGTACCGATGTTCCCCGGGTCCGATGTTCCCCCGCCTATAGAAGTGGGGGAACATCGGACCCGGGGAACATCGGACCCGGGGAACATCGGTACGCACCCGTTTGGACAGACCTGTGAGCAGGCCATTGCAGTAATCTAGCCTACTGGAGACAAAAGAATGGATAGGAATCTCCAGATCTGCTTTGGACACAATATTTTTAATTTTGGCAATATTTTTCAGATGGTAAAAAGATGGAGCTTTCGCGAAAGTTCACTGTGGTAGACCCGGCCGCTGCTGCCAGATCTACAAGCCTGCTCATCCTCGACCCATCACACCAGCAACGCCCACATCTAATCCACCAATAACCACCAGGACAGCAAGTTAAAAGCCGGAGACGCCCACTTCCCGGCCTTCTGAAGTCTGCAAGTGTATGTCAGCGTAATGCAACTGTCCACCATGCAATCTTCGCCCCGTGCTCGTGCGTCCCCGTCTGTTTCGGGCTTGACGCCTAGCTCTCTGAACGATTTGTTCATTCCCCCCTCGCCTGTGCCCGACCGGTCCCGGAAGAGCGCGCGCCTGGCGTCCCAGGATGCTGGGTCCGTCCGCACCTTCCTCGCGGCCCGCGGCGTCGAGCCAGGTCCGGATGGAACCCCGCTGCAGCTCCAGCGCCTCGTGGAGCAGCTGTCAGCGGATTCCGCCTCCCCCCCCCCCCGGCTTCGGACTCCCCTCCTTGCAAGCGCCGTCGCAAGGCCAGGCACCTGCAGCCAACGCGCGCCTGCCCCCCTTCCTCTGCGCTCGACGGGCCCCTGCTTCCCCCGGCTTTGTCGGCCTGCCCCGTGCCCGCCCCAGCCCCTTGCCTCATCGACGTCTCCCGGGCCGCCCCTGCGGTTCCCGGTTTGCCCCCTTCCCAGCCGGATCCTTTCGCTGCAGCCTTCGCGGCCCACGTGGCAGCTGCGGCTCAGGACCGTGAATTCCTCTGCGCGCGCACGAACGCCATCCTGTCGGCGGTGTCGTCTCTCCAGAGCTCGTGGCCGCAGTGTCTGGCCGGCTCCGCGTCGTTGAATCCCGCCCTCCCACCCCCGCCGGGGCCCGGTGGCCGTTTCTACCGCTGCGCCTCCCGGCGGCTCCCTGGACATCGGTTTCTCCCTCTCCACTGCTGTGGCTGCTACGGCGTCCGGTAGGCCCTTTATCAATGCCTATTCCAACGTCTCCCCGCGCCTGCGGTCTAAGATTCTGCTAGGACGCTACATCAATTTAGTTTCCCTCATCCTCCCCTCCCCCGAGTGTGACAGGCAGGTGGCGGCCTCCTCCCTGGTCACCGCGGTCGTAAAGACTGCTGATCCCCGCCTGTCGCGGGAGCTATCCATCGGGGAGTTTCTCGTGGCCTTCGGCGTGTACCGGGACGTCCTGTGCACCGTGTACCCCGAGCGCAGGCCCGAGCTGGACGCCTATCTGGGCCTAATGGGGGACCTGGCCCTCCGCTACGGCGGTTCAATTTTCTACCGCTACCATCGGGCCTTCGCCGCCAAGGCCGCGGCCCTCATCTCCCAGGCAAATGTCAAAGTGGACTGGGCGGTCCTGGATACGGAGATTTTGCTGCTGTCCGTTGGGGGTGCCCCCGCGGTGTACTGCTCCCGGTGCGGCGCGGCCGGACACAGCTCTCCCCTCTGCCCCTCCATTCCGTTCGACGCCGCCGCTGGTCAGTCTCCTAGGCCCCGCGCGCCTTCATTCCCCAAAGCGGAGGTATATGATCAGAGCAATGTGTGCCGCTTGTTCAACGCTGGCGTGTGTACTTTTCCATCGTGTAATTACCTCCACGTTTGTAGTGTATGCAGGGAGGCCCATCCACGTTCCGTGTGCCCGCGTCGCCCCCGCCAGGGCCGCCGTTCCGGGGGGCCTTCGTACAGGCCCTGATCACCACCCACCTCTCAACCCCAGTCTCCGTGCCCGCGCTGGCCCGCGCGCTCGCGCCCCATCCTGATCGGGCCTTCGTTGACTTTCTACTGACAGGCCTGGCCCGTGGCTTCCATGTTGGCGTGGCGGCTCTCCCCTCGGCGTCCTACGTGTCCCGCAACCTGCAATCTGCTCTCCGCGAGCCCCTCGTGGTCAAACGGCTCCTCGCGCGGGAGGTGCACAAGGGCTACATCATCGGCCCCTTTTCCAAGCCCCCCTTTTCCCCGTTTCGCTCCAGCCCGCTGGGAGTTGCCACGAGCAAGTATTCCGGGAAGAAGCGCCTTATTTTTGATTTATCCCACCCCTGCTCCGGGCCCGTTCCGAGTATTAACAGTCTCATCCCTCTTGAGCCCTTCTCCCTGCAGTACGCCACCGTGAATCACGCAATCCGGCTGGTGAAGGCCTTCGGCCCTGGGTCCTGGCTGTCTAAAGCGGACATCACGGACGCTTTCAAGCTGCTGCCCATTCACCCCGATCACTGGCATCTGTTTGGAGTAAAGTGGCGCTCCAGTTTTTATTTTGCTGCGCGCCTCACGTTTGGCTGCAGGAGCAGTCCTTCATTATTTAATAATCTTTCTGAGGCCTTGTGCTGGATTTTGTTGAACAATGTCCGGCTCCCCTCTGTCCTTCATCTCCTAGATGACTTTCTCCTCGTCAATCCCCCCGCGGACGGCTCCGGGGACTCGCTCCGTAGGCTGAAGTCGGCCTTCTCGGCCTTCGAGGTCCCCCTGTCCGAGGAGAAAACCGTGGGCCCTGCCACCGCCCTGGAGTTTCTCGGTATCCGCCTCGACACGCGCGCCATGGAGGCCTCCCTCCCGCTGGAGAAGCTCCTGCGCGTGCGCACCGTGTCACAATCTGCCCTGTCCTCTCCCTCCATCACAAAACGTGAGCTGCTCTCCCTGCTCGGGCACCTCAATTATGCCATCCGCATCATTCCCCAGGGCCGCTCTTTTATTTCGCGTCTTCTCACCCTCGCGGGTTCGGTTCCCTCCCTGCACGACACGGTCACCCTAGACGACGGGTGCCGCTCCGACCTGGACTTCTGGTCGCGCTTGCTGGACCGCTGGAACGGCGTTTCGTTCTTTTACGACGATATTGTCCGGTCCTCCGACGATCTCCGCTTCTACACGGACGCTGCCCCTTCCGTGGGTTTTGGGGGGTTCTTCCAGGACCAGTGGTTCGCCGGGCCGTGGCCCGCTACTTTTGCCCGGAGCATCTCCTTGGCCCTACACGAAATATTCCCCGTGGTCGTGGCCTGCGCGCTCTGGAGTCACACGTGGCAGAGAAAAAGGATTTCCGTAATGTGTGACAATCTCGATGTAGTGGAAGCACTAAACAAAGGTCGCTCTTCTTCGCCTAACATAATGTCCTTTCTCAGACGCATCACATGGCTCTCCGTTTTAAATAATTTCATCATCACTGCACGCCACGTCCCCGGTCACCTTAATCAAATTGCTGACTGTCTTTCTCGCTTTAAATTTCAGGAGTTCCGGCGCCTCTGCCCCTCAGCCAGCACGGAGCCACGCGCAGTTCCTACCATGGACTAACTAACCCTGGACTAATCTCACCTTCCCTCTCTCACCTCCTCTCCTCTGCTTCATCCTATATGAAAAAGGGCCTCTCCCCCTCCCCCTCTACTCTATCTACATACAGCTCCGCTTGGAGAACCTATTCCCTCTTCTGCCACGCTCACAACATTCCTTTGTTACCTCCATCCGTATCTACTGTCATGGCTTTCATAGTTCACTGCTCAGACAATCTCCATCATAAAACAACTTACATCCGTACGCTGCTCTCTGGCATTCACTTTCAGGCCCGCTGTCATAACCCCGCCTTCTCCTCTCTATTCTCTGAACCCTCAATTAAACTCCTCATCAAAGGCATCCACAAATGTACTCCCCACTCTTCTGATCACCGGCTCCCCATCACGCTGCCCATCCTGGAACAGCTCTGCGCTGCACTGAACTCCGGCTCTTCTTCCAAGTACACGTCTGCCCTCCTTCGCAGCGCGTTCCTGCTCGCCTTCTATGGCTTTCTCCGCATAAGCGAGTTCACCACTGCTCACTCAACGTTCAATGCGGCCCTAGACATTGCTTTTTCCGATCTGGCCTATTACCCTGACCATTTCAACCTTCATCTCAAACATTCAAAGATCAAAGGAGCCTGCAATATAATAATAGCTCGCTCGGACACATCTCTCTGCCCCTACAAATCCATGATGCGTTACACTCGCCTCCGCTGCAAAAAAGGAGATTTTAACGGACCTCTATTTCTCACTCCAGACAACCTTCCCATGACAGCAACCTGGTTCAGAGCTCAGCTAAGATCCCTACTGCTCCTCTGTAATTTGTCTCCCCAGCTCTACACAGCTCACTCTTTCAGGATAGGCGCTGCCACGCGCGCAGCCTCGCTGGGGCTCCCCCACACTTCTCTGCAACAGCTGGGGCGCTGGTCCTCTTCGGCTTTCTCCGCCTACATCAGGCCAGACGCGTCCGCTATCCTGGCAGCACAACATCTACTGGCTTCCTCGTAAGCTCCCAGCAAAGCAATACGAAGCAAAGTAAGTGAAGCAATAAGATTCTGGTGGCGGCACGCACTTTTCTCAAACGCTCTCCGCTGCTGCAGCGTCTGGCGGAACGTGATGCGAGCGCTCACGTTCCCAGTGCTCAAAGATAACCCTGCTACAGCGTCTGGCTGAACGTGATGCGAGCGCTCACGTTCTCAGCGCTCAAAGATAACCCTGCTACAGCGTCTGGCTGAACGTGATGCGAGCGCTCACGTTCTCAGCGCCCAAAGATAACCCTGCTACAGCGTCTGGCTGAACGTGATGCGAGCGCTCACGTTCTCAGCGCTCAAAGATAACCCTGCTACAGCGTCTGGCTGAACGTGATGCGAGCGCTCACGTTCTCAGCGCTCAAAGATGCCCAGCGGACGCAGCCTGGCTGAGCGTCCGTGCGAGAAGCCTCGCACGCATGCTCTCAGGCCTGCGCAGTGCGTCCCGCTATCCCTTCGCAGGCCCGTTTTTGGGGATTATGCGCGCGAGCAAGCGCCGCGCTCAACAGCATCTCTCCCGGGCCTAGGGCGCCAAACATGCTCAATCAATACACTTCTAACTGCATTTTCCCTCGTGGGTCTTTCCAAGGTGAAATGGAGCTTTCGCAAAAGTTCACTGTGGTAGACCCGGCCGCTGCTGCCAGATCTACAAGCCTGCTCATCCTCGACCCATCACACCAGCAACGCCCACATCTAATCCACCAATAACCACCAGGACAGCAAGTTAAAAGCCGGAGACGCCCACTTCCCGGCCTTCTGAAGTCTGCAAGCCTCCGCCGCCCCACCTCCTCCTTCTCTCTTCGGAGCGTGCTTGCCTGCTGCCTCTGCCGCCACCAGTGCTTAGGCCCCGGGGGGGATTATGCGCGCGAGCAAGCGCCGCGCTCAACAGCATCTCTCCCGGGCCTAGGGCGCCAAACATGCTTCTAACTGCATTTTCCCTCGTGGGTCTTTCCAAGGTGAACTGCTGATGTTACTGATCCAATGTTGCTATTGAAGTTTAAGTCAGAGTCCATTATTACTCCCAGATTTCTGACCTTGTTTGAAGGTTTTAGGGAGAGAGACTGGAGGTGACAGATGACGCTCTCTCTTTGTTTCTGGGGACCAAATACAATCATTTCGGTTTTGTCTGCA